TTGACCCCAGACCCGGAAGACGTAATGTATTGATGCCTTGTTACGTTTTACAATGGTAGTCACCAGTGAGTGTGTTGATCAGCTGAAAATTATTGTTTTTATATGCACTGATGAATTCCCTATTGATGTCACTTTTTCTCTGTTTTTGATGTTTTGGTAGTCCAAGGGTTGTTCACGAACCAATGCTGTCACATCTTTTCCTTTTAAATAATGATGTCATTGTGTTAGTTATATCATTACTCACCTTCAACTACTGCATTTACAAGAAAAAAAATTTGCATATCTCATTTGCATATGAAAGGTCTGCCATTGCTAACATCGTTCAGGAGGTGTCGGTGCCGTGTTTTTCACATATTGCCGTTGACATAGATCTAAAAGTCTTCGAAGATGACCAGCAACGTCCTTATCAACAATAAACAGGAATTGCTGAATGCAAATAAACAGTTCTTCCAACCACCAGTGTGCAACAAAATGATGTAAGTACTTCCTACAATAGCCCTGCCCCTGGGTCATCGTTTTTAACACATACCTGGAACCACGTCGTTGTCAGAGTCGCAGGCGCTCGGTACGTTTCTTAGTCGCTCCTTTTTATTATCCAGAAACTGTACCCAGCGCATATGGTCCCTGTGCCTGTGGTCAGAGTTTGCGTTTTTGCGAATTGGTGCGCGATGCTTGTGAATAAACAGATGAACCGAAGGCAAACTGGTTGGTCATAAATCACATGACAGTGTTCATTGGTTTATTATGTAAATTCATGAAACTATTGTCACGTGTCACCATGAAATAGCATTCTTTTGTGTGTTACAGTGACATATTGGGAAAACTTGGCCAACTATTTTTCAAAAATCTCTATTTTTAGAACAATTCCATAGAGCACAATGTTAAAGAAAAATTGCATTTTTTGTCACTTTTTATAAAGATTTTTGAAACAATTGAGAACAACAAAAAGTACCCCTATCATTCACAATATATAATTTTTGTGTCACTGACCTACAATTTAAGATACAACATATTATTTCTGCCATAGGAACCTAAGGTAAAAGCACTATATTATTGCCTAAATTGCCACTATACACTAAAATACAACCATCATTTTCTTGGAAATGAAGCTGGTTACCCCCAACTTTTTTCAAGTCAATATCTTACAACTTATTGGAAAATGACAAAATTCTGAGTGTTTGCAGCATGTATTTGAATTTCACGTAAACAGACAATGTATTTTACACGTGTTGTTTATGTCGCTATGAGTCCCATATAAAACATGACATAGCGTGACGACCATCACCGTTTAAACTTAAATGTGCTCTAGTGAGAACTACAATGATACTAATTAATATTATTATCCTTTGTAATTTTGTCGCTAGGTCGAGAGATAGAAAACTTTTGCCGAAACACACATTTTTGTGTATCGTATGTAAATATTATGAGCACAAATAAGGCCTAATACAGTTATTTAAATATATAATCATATCAGAGAAATGCACCTGTACAACAAATATCAATCATCAGTAATAACAATTAAAATTTTGTTGATCTATAAATAGTCCCAACAGCATTTGTTTTCACTTAGTGGTGACCCTAATCTCATTGGTATTTAGGCCAGACTTTTTTTAGTCCCCGTTCGGACGCAGTCCGAAAGCGGGGACTTATGTTTTGACCTCCGTGTGTCAGTGCGTGCGTGTGTGCGTGCATCTGTGCGTGCGTCCAGACCTGTATCTTAGAAATGCCTGGACCAATCACAATCAAATTTCACACATACATCATACATGATATCATACATATGCACGTCAATTTGTTTCATGATCTGATTCAAGATGGCCGAATGGCGGCCATATTTGTGCTAAAAATCATTAAAATCAAGCATTTCCCGGCTTTTTACAGATGCATTTTGTTCAAACCTTGTATATACGTTGGACATTATAGGACCTTGATGCACATCATTTTGTTTTACGATCTGATTCAAGATGGCCGAATGGCGGCCATTTTTGTGCTAAAAAATCATAAAAATCAAGTATTTCTCGGCTGTTTACAGATAGATTTTGTTCAAACTTGATATATACATTAGACATTATGGGACCTTGATGCAAATAATTTTGTTTTTCAGATAACATTCAAAATGGCCGAATGGTGGCCATTTTGTTTTAATGAATGGGCTTCTAGAATCATATCTTCGACTTGTTTTGACTGATTATGTTCAAATTTCATGTCATAGATAGGCAGATATATTGGTTTGACGATCCTATTCAAAATGGCCCAATGGTTGTCATTTTTGTGCTAAAAAATCATCAAATATCAAGCATTTCTGGCATTTCTGGATGGATTTCGTTCAAACTTGGTACAAACATTAAACATTACGGGTTCCTGATGCACATCATTTTATTTTTCAGATCAGATTCAAATGGCTGTCTGGCGGCCATTTTGTTTAATGATGGGTTTCCAGACCCATATGTCTGACTTGTTTGACT